ATCATACGAAATGAGTCGACGAAAATACATTGTCGACAAAATTATACATGTCGACGAAATTAATTACATTGTCGACGAAATGAATACATTGTCGACGAAATTACATTGTCGACGAAATGAATACATTGTCGACGAAATGAATACATTGTCGACAAAATGAATACACGAAATGACATTGTCGACGAAATGAATACATTGTCGACGAAATAATACATTGTCGGACAAAATGAATACAGTGTCGACGAAATGAATACATTGTCGACGAAATGAATACATTGTCGACGAAATTAATACATTGTCGACAAAATGAATACATTGTCGACGAAATGAATACATTGTCGACGAAAGAATGTCGACAAATACATTGTCGACGAAATGAATACATTGTCGACGAAATGAATACATTGTCGACGAAATGAATACATTGTCGAAATGAATACATTGTCGACGAAATGAATACATTGTCGACAAAATGAATACATTGTCGACGAAATGAATACATTGTCGACAAAAATCATTGTCGACAAAATTAATACATTGTCGACAAATTAATTACATTGTCGACAAAAATTAATACATTGTCGACAAAATGAATACATTGTCGACAAAATGAATACATTGTCGACGAAATGTCGAAAATACATTGTCGACAAAATGAAACATTGTCGACAAATGAATACATTGTCGACGAAATGAATACATTGTCGACGAAATGAATACAACAATGAATACATTGTCGAAAAATGAATACATTGTCGACAAAATACATTGTCGACGAATGAATACATTGTCGACAAAATTGTCGACAAATTAATACAAAAATGAATACATTGTCGACAAAATGATACATTGTCGACGAAATGAATGTTGTCGACGAAATGAATACATTGTCGACATTACATTGTCGACAAATGAATACTTGTCGACAAAATGGAATACATTGTCGACAAATGAATACATTGTCGACAAATGATACATTGTCGACAAAATGAATACACGATGAATACATTGTCGACGAAATGATTACATTGTCGACAAAATGAATACATTGTCGACAAAATGAATACATTGTCGACGAAATGAATACATTGTCGACAAAATGAATACATTGTCGGAAAAATGAATACATTGTCGACAAATGAATACATTGTCGACGAATGAATACCATTGTCGACGAAATGAATACATTGTCGACGAATGATACATTGTCGACGAAATGAATACATTTCGAAAAAATGATACAATTGTCGACGAATTGAATACATTGAAAATGTACATTGTCGACTAAATGAATACATTGTCGACAAATGAATATTGTCGACGAAATGAATACATTGTCGACGAAATGAATACATTGTCGACAAAATGAATATTGTCGAATACATTGTCGACGATATGAAACATTGTACATTGTCGACGAAATGAATTTGTCGACATAATAGACAAAATAATACATTGTCGACAAAATGTACATTGTCGACGAAAATGAATACATGTGACAAAATGAATACATTGTCGACAAATGAATACATGTCGACGAAATTATACAAATTGTCGACAAAATGAATACATTGTCGACGGACATGAATACATCGTCGACAAAATTAATACATTGTCGACAAATGATACATTGTCGACAAATTAACATTGACAAATTAATACATTGTCGACAAATGAATTGTGTCGACAAATGAATACATTGTCGACGAAAGAATGTCGACATGAATAATTGTCGACAAATTACATGTCGACAAAATGAACATTTCGACAAAAATTGTCGAAACTGAATACATTGTCGACGAATGAATTACAATTTCACATGAATAACATTGTCGACGAATGAATACATTGTCGACGAAAATGATACATTGTCGACAGAATGAATAACATTGACAACGAATGAATACATTGTCGACGAAATGAATACATTGTCGACGATATGAATACTTGTCGACGAATGAATACATTGTCGACGAAATGATACATTGTCGACGAATTGAATACATTGTCGAAGAAAAATGAATACATTGTCGACAAATGAATACATTGTCGACAAATTACATTGTCGAACAAAATAAATTGTCGACGATGAATACATTGTCGACGAAATTGAATGTCGACATTGTCGACGAAATGGAATACATTGTCGACGAAATGAATAATTGTCGACGAAATGAAATACAAAATTGTCGACGAAATTGAATACATTGTCGACGAAATGAATACATTGTCGACAAAATTACTGACATTGTCGAAATTGAATACATTGTCGACGAAATGAATACATTGTCGACAGAAATAATACATTGTCGACAAAATGAATTTACATTGTCGACGAAATGATGTCGACGAAATGAATACATTGTCGACAGAATGAATACATTGTCGACAAAATAATACATTTCGACAACAATGGAATACATTGTCGACGACATTGTCGACAATGAATACATTGTCGACGAAATGAAATGAATACATTGTCGACGAAATGAATACATTGTCGACAGAATGAATACATTGTCGACGAAATGAATACATTGTCGACAGAATGAATACATTGTCGACAAATGAAATACGAATTGTCGACAAATGATACATTGTCGACAAAATGAATACTTGTCGACAAAATGAATACATTGTCGACGAAAATGATACATTGTCGACAGAAAATGATGAATACATTGTCGACAAAATTATTACTACATTGTCGACAGAATGAATACATTGTCGACGAATGAATACATTGTCGACAAAATGAATACATTGACGAAATGAATACATTGTCGACAGAATGAATACATTGTCGACGAAATGAATACATTGTCGGGCGACGAATGAATACATTGTCGACGAATGATACATTGTCGACAATGAATACTGTCGACAAATGAATACATTGCGCGAATGAATACATTGTTACGTGACATTGTCGACAAAATTACTACATTGTCGTCGACAAATTGAATACATTGTCGACAGAATGAATACATTTCGACGAAATGATACATTGTCGACAAAATGAATACATTTGTCGACGAATGAATACATGTCGACAAAATGATATGTCGACAGAATGATACATTGTCGACGAAATGAATTTGTCGACAGAATGTATTGTCGACAAATTGAATACATTGTCGACAAAATTGAAATGAATCATTGTCACAAAATGAATAGACGAAATGATACATTGTCGACGAAATGAATACATTGTTCGACAGAATGATACATTGTCGACGAAAATGTCGACAGGAATACATTGTCACAAAATGAATTGTCGACGAATGAATCACGATGTCGACAATGAATACATTGTGACAAATAATACATTGTCGACGAAATGAATACATTGTCGACGAATGATAATGACATTGTCGACGAAATTGAAAATGTCGAAAAATGAGATGAATCATTGTCGACAGAAATGAATACATTGTCGACAAATGATGAATACATTGTCGAGAAATGATATTTTCGACAAATGAATACATTGTCAACTGAAATGAACATTGTCGACAAAATGAATACATTGTCGACGGAAATGACATACATTGTCGACGAAATGAAATACGTTGTGACGAAATGAATACATTGTCGACAAAATGAATCATTGTCGACGAAATGAATACATTGTCGACAAATTTGATACATCGTAAACTTTCCGTTATTTTGTTACCATTGCAACACAGGGATCTTTCCGCTGCAATCACTGCGCGAATTCTTTTAATTGTTGCTTGGTAGGGACGACCTTGACCGATTGAACCCTTCTAATCAGCCGATGTCGCGGGCATTTGGCACCGGCCTGTATATGTGTGTGTATATGCA